CACTCCTCCCCGCCCCCCGAGCAAACACCCGCACGCGCTTACGCACTGGTTTCTCCCGCGCCGACGCCCGCCGCGCCGCGCCGCGGACCAAAGGCCAATCTCCTCTCTGCGGAACGGAACAGCAACGACTCGTGCACTGACCCAGCCATTCATGGGGCAAGAACGCCTCGAAATAGACGTGAAGTATTGTAAAATTTCTAAGATGGGAAAGATCTAAAAGAAACACGACATATTATTTTTCATCACGAACAATCACCAAAATTCTAACATGTTATCAAGATTAAGACCCTTTCAGAAAATTATTAACGCATTAATATTTTAGTAGTAGTATTTCTTTCAACGGCAACATCAACTTGATTGTTAGATTATTTCATTTAAGAAGGGATAGAAGGTACTTATCTCGGTTCAGATGAATGAATATCAGTATTCCTCCTTGTGAGTACTTGTTTTCACAATGATGTGTCACACACGGTCGTAAAATTTAAAATATGACTGTAAATATTGGCAGTATATTAAACCAACAGAGTAACTTTCAGAGATCACAAAAGATTATGGAAGAAATAGAATTTAATAGTTAATGAACGACATCTTTACGCATAAAGGGGATGGAAAAGCTGAAGTGCCACTATATCAAGGAAGTGACCTATAACATTTAGACAATACTCATAAATCCAGTACCATGGAAACTCTTTCGACTATTGTCTCCCAGGGGAAACTGTGGGCCGGCGAGGTCGTCGTCCGGAGACGCAAACTCGCACTGCTGGTTGCCTATCTTCCAGGCGTGTGCAGCATTGAGTCAATTAACCTCATTTACAAGAATAAGTCGGAAAGTATAGATTCTTTATATTCTGATCTACAGTATTAATTAAAAATAATGAATGCCATTATTTGTAATTATTTGATTGTAGACAAAATTTTAGGATTGGGAAATTTAATATAAGTAATATGAAAATTATGAATATAAATAACGGAATTATGTTGAGTACTGTATCAGGAAAATAAAATAATTTTATATTTTTACAGCACACAAGGAGGAAAATTCCTCTTATGTAATCAGCTGCAACTCCAGCAGTTCTTCCAGAAACATCAGCAGTGCTAATTCTGAGTCTAAAGGAGAAAAAGTGGCCCATCTTAATGGTGGTGGCTACGGAAGATGACGCCTCATTCAATGGCTCACAAAATTCCGATTGCTGAAGATTACTAACTAAAGTCTACCACATAAGAGAAACTATGGTTGGGACAGCACATATTTGCTGGCCTAATTTGCAACGGTTAGGTCACATCTATCCCACTGACACTGTTGAAAGAACTCTCCACAAGGCTACGAGCTGGATTTTAAAAAAATACGAAATAGCTCTTTGAAAATTAAAAATTTCAATGAAACATATCTTTGGCATTATATTCAATGCATTGGGTTTATGCTACTGGGGACTATTTTTCAGAAAGGGAAAAAAATGCGTTGACCAAGATACGCAACTGAGACCTGACGGTAGCACGCCAACCATTTAGCTAAACATCTTTAAACTGGAACATCACTTACAATATATACACAACAAATTTCTGAAAAACTACTAGTATTTTGAAAATGACTGTACATATAATGATTTAATGATCTAATACTGAGGAACGTAAAGAAATTTATTAAAAAATATTGAGCTCCAATTTTAAATTGTTTTAGGTGTGCTATATGTACTTATCGGATATATATGTAAATAAAAAGTGAAAGGTTTCAGCATGTTTCGATAAGAAAATCCACAAAATATTTTCGTCGTGAGAAGTCAACTTAAAAAACACTTAAAAACCATGTATTTGTCATAATTACTTTCGCCTTAATATGAAGCTGAATTTCGGAACAGATGAAAGAAAAATAATGACAAAAGAAATATGATTTAAAGAACTGATGCATATCACCACATTTACTGGATTCCTAGATTCACAAATGGATTCGGTTCTCAGAATCGGTTCGCTGCAAGAGTGGGTGCTGCCTACCTTCCAGTGCTGCAGCGCGGCGCCGTTCGGGGTGGCGCTGGAGCCTGCTCCTCCTCCTCCTCCTCCTCCGGGTGGCGCGGGCGTGGGCGCGGGGGCGGGGCCGAGCGGCGTCAGCGGCGGCGCGGGCGCGGGGGCGGCCGGCGGCCAGCAGGTGCGGCGGCGGGCGGCGCTGGCCGGCGGGGGCGGGCGACGGCGGGGTGGCGCGGGTGCAACAGCCGCCGAGTGCCGCGCAGAGTCGCCAGCAGCTTCCGGGCGAGGGGCTCGGCGGCGGCGCCGTAGTTGCGGCGGGGCTGCTGGTGCTCAGCCGCGCCGGTCAGCTTCAGCTTGCGACGGGCTGGAGGTGGTGCCGCTGGGTGGTTGACGAGGGGCCGCGACGCATGGTCCGCCCGCCGGGCCTCGGGGGCGAGAAGGGATGTTTAGCCTCACCTTGCGCTTGGGGGAGAGGGCGGCTGCGGCGAGGGGGCGACGTGGCGGAGGAGGCGCGCCCGTAGCCGCCCGCGCAGCATGGAGTCGTCCAGGGACTGCGCGGTGAGGGCGCGCGGTCCGCACCAAGCACAGCCGCCGCCGTCGCGCGGGTCGGCGACGCGGGCGCGCCACCGGCGGCCGGGGCGACGGACACGCCTCCCCCGATCCGGGCGTCACGCTGCTTCCAGGCATTGAGGCTCGTGCGTTTGTAGTTGAGCTTGGAGAAGATTGGCGGTCGTCTCGGGGTCTTCAAATGTTGCCTCCAGCATCTGCCGGGGAAGGGGCGCGCAGCGGGCGCTTTGGTGGTAGCGGCGCGGCACGTGCGGGCTTGCGCGCTCGGGGCGGGGCTTGCCGCGCCGGACGCCCCGCAGAGCCGACAGCCGCCGCGGGGCCTCCGAGTCGGAGAGGTTCGAGGGCGGGAAGAAGGAACGGGCTGGCGGTGCGGTTCTGCGGTCGCGCAAGGCGTGTGGGCGGGCAGCGGCTCGCCGGTCGCTCTCGCCTCCCGACGCGAGTCGGCGCGCGCCAGCAGCTGGTAGCGGCGCGGCGACGGCGAGCGCGGCGGCTCGTCGTCGTTTCTCGTCGGAGTTCTGGAACATGAGGCGCGGGCGGCGGCGCCCTGTGCGGGCGGGGGGCGCGCGGCGCCACAAACGGGCGCGCGGGCGCCGCGCCGCCCTTGTTCGGGGTCTGCGACTCTCTGCGGCGCTGCTCCAGCGCGCTTCGCGCGCTCCGCTGCCTCTCGCACTCGCCCTCCGACCACTCCTTGGCCGCCGCGGGCGGGCCGCTCGCCTCCGCGTCGGAGGACGCGCCTCCCGGGGGCCGCGCTCGGGTGCGCTTGACTAGAGGCGCCTGCGCCGGCACCGCACACGAACACGTCGTGGTCGTGTGTTGTCGCACTCGAGTCCCTCTCCGGCGACACTCGCGGCATGCTCGGGCGGGGCGCGTGGTCGTGGTCTTGGGGAGCGCCCGACACCCCCACCGATCGTGGTCGATGTCTCGGCGAGCAGCGGGGGTCCTCGTCGCTGGGAAGGCCCCTTGCGCAAGCGGGCGCGGTGCAGAGTCGCTGCAACACTTGGCCTAGTCGCAGCTCGCTCGACTGCGACAGCGGCTCTTCCCGTTTCCCGCGCCCCGCGTCGCCCACGTACTGTCGCTTGTGTCACCGCTTCTGCGCGCACTCGCAATTCGGGGCTCCTCTTGCTCCGGGTCGTTCCCGGAGGTAGAAGCGGTGGTTGTCAGCGGATGGGCGGAGGAGTCCTTCGGCGTCGGCGGAAGATACGATTGCAGCTCTCACTTGATACGTCTCTTTCCGCTACCGACGCTGCACTCTTCGATGAACTTCCGGCGAGTCGCGCACGGTGCTGCTGACAGCATGCCGCGGGGGGCGTACGCAGAGGCTCTTGAGTCCGTTGCCGTCGATGGAGGAGAAGGGGGAATGTTTCGTGGAGCCGGGAGCGGCAGAGGCGCGGCAGCGGTTTAGGTGAGCGAGCGGGGCGGGCGCCAGGTACTTTGTGCGCGCCTCGCCCGCCGGGCCTGATCGGGCTCGACGCCGTCCGCTTTCGCCATGCGGCAATCGTGCGGCAACCTCGCTAGCTTAGAAGGCCTTCGTCGACAACAACGCGGAGTCGACGGAGGCGCGTGGAGCCGGTCGGCTCTTCAGCGCTTCACATCGTCGAGGAACGACGGGCTGAAGGAGGGACGGCAGAGATGTAGGCACAGGCGGCGGGCGGGGCAGCGTCAAACGACCTCCGGCGATGGAGAGTTGAGCGCAGCGAGAGACACCCGGGTGTTACCGATCGACACGGTAGTGGAAGTGCGGAGTATCGGGCTCGTGCGTCCGTGCTGCGAATGTTATCTTGCGTGGCCGGGGAGAAGTTCCATGCGAGAAAGACGCGCTGCGTATCGGGGGATGGTGCGTTGCATGTAGGAGCCCACGATGGTGGCGCGACTCGGGCTTTGGGAAGGCTGGGGATGGTTGTAGGCACTCGAATCTGTCATCGTTCTCGGGCAGTCGGCCGCGGCGGCTCGTGCGGCTTCCAAAGGCGCGTCATGTCGGTAGCGGCCGGGCCGCGCGGAAGCTTGCACTGGACGTGCGTCTTTGGACGGCGACGCTGGTCGTCGGCCGCGCCACCGCCGCGCTCCTTTCCGTCGACGTCGCTGCAGCGCCAGGCGCGCACGCCGCCACCGCTTGCTTGTTAGCAGCGGCTTGTCGACACCAGTCAGCGCTCGGCGGCGGCGGTGGGGGAGGCTGACGCGGCGGGCAGGGGGCGCGATGAGGGGGTCGGGCGCGTGTGAGAGCGCGGTGGCGATGGGTAGGTGCGTTGCGGCACGGCCGGGTTGGCGGGGGCGGGGGGGGCTCACTCGTCGGGGGCGGCCGGCGCGGTCCGCCTTTTCCGGGTCGGGGGCTGAGGAGGTGGTGGGTTGGGAGGGCGCTCGGGTGGAGCGCGGGCGGGAGGTCTTCCGTCTTGTCGGCTGCTGCGACGCGGGTTTTGCTTCTTCTGCGCTGCCGCCGCGCCGCCGCACGCGCGTCGCTCTTCTTCGCCTTGTCGCGCCGCGCGCACCCAGCGGAACCTGGGCAGGCCGGTCCAGGGTTTTGCGCCGCGGGTTGCCCGGTGCTCGCGTCTCCTCTCGGCCAGGTTGTCGGCGGGGAAAGGCGCTGGCGGGGGAGGCGGCGGGGTGAGCCAGGCGCGGCCGTGTGCGTCGGGGGAGCGGCGGCGCAAGTTTGAGGTATGCGGGCAGGTGGGCTTTGGCGCGCACCAGGATGCGCCGGCCCGCAAGGAGCGGGTGGGCGTGCCGCGAGGGGCGGCGGCGGGGGCGGCGGGGGCGGCGGCGGCGAGGGCGGGGGGGGCGGCGGCAGCAGCACAGGACGGCGAACGCGTCGACGGCGGGGCAGGGAGGACGCGCGGGCGGGCGGACGGCGAGGCGGGCGGGGCGGCAGCGGGCCTTTCTGCTTGCTTGCTCACTCATCGCGCGGCGCGGCTAGCTGCGGCGCTTGGGCAGGGTGCTGGCCGACGGCGGCCGCGCAGCGCCGCGCCCCTGCGACACAAGTGTGCGGAAACACTGGAGCGTCGCGCGCGCCTGTGGCGGCCTCACTCGCACTATTTAATATGCGAGCTAAAGATACCGCGTCTATTATAGCGGCCGCAGTGGTCTTTCGGGCGCGGCCGGCGGAGCGGGATCCAGGAGGGGCTCAGGAAATGACGACGCCGCAGCAGCAGTCGCGCCGCCGCCACCACCGCGCCGCCGCCGCGTGTTTGGTCGTGGAGGCGGCGTCGCGGGGGGGCGAGCACGGGGGGAGGCGGCGGTGGAGAGAGAGGCGGGCGGGGGCGGGCGGGCGGGCGGGCGGCTCTTCCTGGGTTCGGTCGGCGGTTGCGGTTTGTGGCGGCGCCTCGGTCCCCGACGCGGGGGGCGCCGGGCGCGCGCGTGGCGGCGGGGTCGACCGCGGGCGCCGCCCCCGCCGCCTCCGCCAGCGGCGCCACGCCGTTGCCCGCCGCGAAGCGCACGCCGTAGCGGATGGAGCCGATGGTGATGTAGCTGGGGGTGACGCTGGGCCTGTCGACACACACATTGCTTATGGTAGGGCTCCTTGGTAATGTATGTACTTAGAATACCGATATACGCCTCCAACATCATGAATACGAAAGTGGTTTTAACAGTACCACGTAATATATTAGAAATATTATCCCTTAAAGAAATATCAGACCCTTAAAACAGAATGAACTAATTATCATAAAAATGTAACAATACTGTATATTTCTTGTATTTCTTACTATAATATTTAAATGTACTCATATATTTTGATCAATTTACATTTATTTTCACTGTAAACAACACTTACTCTTCTTTTAACTTTATACGGTTAGTACTGAACGTAGTAAATCCAAAAGTCCGAACTGCTTCTGGATAGTCTAGTTACCAGCCAATAGTCTCTCTCAATACAATAAGTTCCTTTTTTAGACGCAATGTTATAATAATCAGTTTATAAACATGGCATTAGCCATGACGTCTAATTTTACACAAATGCCTATTTATTATCATAATAAAAACATTCTGTTGCACCTGATCCTCCGTGCATCAATGCATTCTTTCAGTAAATTTTAAACAATCACAGGCATTACGGTGATTCACCGTCTCCCCCTGAAGGAGGCGTGAATTGAATTGATCGGCTGAAGAGGTTCGACCTATCGAAAAGATCCTACTTATCGAATAGACTACACTTAACAAGGGTCCCAATCTCACCTAAACAGTACGTCCCACCTACCAAGCACACCTCTTCTTCCTCGGCATGATCGTCGACCCAGGGCCAGATCCGCGAAGTATTTCGTGGAGACAGAGCAAATTCAGTCGGACCCCATAAATAATTTTGGTTTTTTTTTGAAATTGTTAGTTTGAAGTTAAAAATGTTCCGAGTCCTTTCGTAACGAGAATATCATTTTCAATCTGATGATATCTGTTTACTGTAATTATTTTCAATAAAGTGAGTAAAATGACAACAATGAGAAAAGAGTTGGCTTTGAGGGGCATGGCCTACGTGCCACCGCCCCATCCCCGGAACCCCCTTTGGTCTCTGATTGCCTAGCACCACCCCTGAGTACGTCATGCTGACGTTCAGAGGGGATGTATTTCTTAAAATCCTAAATTATTTTCAATTACATTTGAACCTTTTTAAAAAGGAGTATTGAAATTTGCGAGATAAAGATCGTTATTTTGAAACGTTACTCTACATTTTCTCTCTTCTTTTTGAATCACCAGATATTTGACTCTAGCCCAGTCAATTAAATTCGGGATATCTATCTGCCATGTGAAAATAAAGTTTGCTTAGACATTAAAAGACACCCCGTAATGAACTGGGTTGTTTTATTTTCAGGGCATTAACTACCGTTTAACCCTCGGATACAAATCGCTTACAATAAATATTTAGGCTACTACAACTTGGAATGTTTATTATCACTTTGATATCATATTTTTAAATTTACCCGAATAGGCCTAGAATAGTTTATTGTGTTACTTTGTTTCTTTTTAAAAGCATTTAATAAGAAAAGGTGCTCCCTTCCGAAGGAAAACGTTAGTTTCGATAAATAATATCATAACTTGTTTTTAAGCTTAATTTTCTTCTCTTTTTTGTTCGTTAAAATACATAACTAGCAAGTTCTTATCGTTAAAAGCTAAAGAAAAAGTGGTCTACGAAATTTATATCAAAATTAAAACACATACTACAGATATTTTCACTGTTTGTAAGATTACTAAGGCGCTAAAAGCAATTTTAGATACAGTGGGGAGAATCAGTAGAAAAATCAACGCTGATTTCATAAATCAGCTATTACAAATAATTTCAAGTTTTAAGGAGAGTTAGTGGAAAGTTTTGAAGTTAACTTTGCTAGATAGCGGTTAGGGTCTTAAGGATTTTAAATACTGGAGCAAACAGTGTTGTGACACAATGACAAACCGTGAGGGACACAGTGAGACTGTCTCATTCACTGTGTCCCTATCTCAATGAGACTACATACGCAAAAGATAAAATAATTCATTCGCAAAAATAGTATTAAATTATAACCATTTTACCATCTTTTAACCTGTTCGCGAAAACATTCAAAATTTGGTTAACAGAATTTCCAAAGGCTGCTTTTATGTACTTCGTGTACGCCGGAGAACTACGTTTCCATACCGCCCGCAATGGGTATTTTGGTGATTTACAATACATTTTGACATATTGAAGTGAGTGAATGAGTAATTAAATTCCAGGCAAATCATCTACTGATGTCATTTGCCTCGTAAGTGTACAGCATATTATAACCCGCAAGGTAGAAGTGTTCTTTCCCCGATGGGACGTGAAATCCGGCGCCGACCTGCACATCACCTAGACGATGTTTGCGCCCTCCAAGTTACTCACCAGCAGCTCTCAAGAGCCCCAGCCGGGTCAAAGCTCCCGAGTGGTATCAAGACATCGTATGTAACAGGACGAGAAGGGACAAAAATGAGGAAGGCAAGATCGCTCTCTGTTCTTAGCCAGTTTGTTAGAATACAGCTCCGGAATTCGTCTGGTAATGATAGGAGAAGCCATGGAAGGATGGGTAAGAATATGAAAAGACCTTTATGGCCGATGGAATTCTCCTCCAGACAAAGGTTGAATTCGACCCAGCTTTCTCGTAAGTGGTAGGAATTCCCCACCACCGGATATCGAAACCAGCACCGCCTGATTAACAGTGCTACCGAGGCAACCCGCATATTGAATATTCCTAAACTCAAAATTTCTTTAAGGTAAAAGTGGAATATTTCCTGAAAGCGAAAGCTATTTAAAATACGACAAAAACAATCGTTCATGATTGTATGATTAAAAAAGTTACTAAATATATTAATTCTAATATAAAAATTATATAAATAATGTATTATTGGCTTTGAATACCTATCTTCATAAACAGTACATCTCTCAAATCTCTCGAAAATCTCGAAAATCTCTCAAATAAATAGTATATTTACTGATATGCTTCACTAATATTGCAATAACATGGTATAGCATTTATTCGGTTCGACACTTCCTTGCATACCAAATATATTTAAAAAGTGCAATTAGATGACGGAACATGTTAATAGCAAATGTTTAATACTACGAGTTCTTCTTCGGAGCCTTGCTGTCGCATGACGGCAGCTGTTTCATAAGCAGTGATGCACTGAGAATGAAAAATACCCGGTTCCGCACTATGAGAATAGGAGGAAGTAGGTAATCAAGTATTTGCACTTTTAGTGAAATTCGAATCTGTTTCACTGGTTTTGGACTTTGTTCGGGTTCCTGGATAAGACACGAAAACATTGACGCCTCTCACATTATATTACATTAATATTGGTATGGAATAGTTGAATAATTCAGATCAGCGATACGATTCTTGAAAGATAACGAAATTTATGAATTATTTTCTCTTCATTACTGCAATAGAAAAAATAAAACGTCACACAATCACTTATTGTTTAAGGGAAGGTTATCAGTACAAACTAATTTCAATATTACTGATGTTAATACGTTCACACAAAAAGTTGGAGATGAAATATTTCATAAAATTTGTTCAATTACCTTAATACAACACGAAATGTTCTCTAAAATGACAACATTCAGAGGAGGATACATTAGCTGTAGTTCCATTCGACCTGATTAAAGAGTGGTTCAATTAAGAACGATAAAAACGTAAGAGTTTAAATCCATTCGTATCGAGTTTGATCCAAAAGCGCGGCAGCTTCAATTAGCAGATGATCTGTCCAATCTAGCTGATCTGAGAAGGTTAATTACGTCATATTTTTCACATTGCAGAATTCTGTCCCTCATAGCTTTTTGAAAGGATCTTACATGAAAAAATTCTAACGACCCCGATATTTTAATCTAGTTTGAGGTAATAAGAATATATGCGAAAATTTATGCAAATGTTTACAACATACAAAAATAAAGTTTGCCAACTTCTCCTTCATTGCAAATCACTCAAAATTATGTTTCAGATTCAGAAGAAATTTAATTCATTGTAACAGTTCTTCACTAATTAATCGTTTATGTACTGACATTTTTACAAAATAAGTTAAGAATTACACATTACCATAAGCTACACAGTACGTTGACTGGATTCAATAATTGACTTCCGAACTCGTGTAATGAGAATGTAAAAGCTGTTGCTTTCCTTGGAGGGTTGTATCATTTTTACCATTTCTTACTTCTCTACATTGCATTCATTTAATGAGTGCGAAAGAAATTACATGATATACAAGTTAAAAAGTACTATAGAAAAATTAAATACAGGGCTTGCATTCTTATTCATCAGTTGGCCTCATCTCTTCTATTTCAAAGTGACTTAGGCTTTCTACTTCAACTTAACACGCGTATAATCTATCCATTTAGTACACTTCTTTAAGATAAAAAAATATTGCAAAAGAAAAAGATCTATTGGATCCGCTAGAAAAGAGATCCATTGGATAAACTACAAATTCAATCGTATCCTTTCGCATTGCTGAGAAAACACGAGTGAGAAACCCGAGGCGACACAGATAATCGGCAGCGTTGAAGGAAGTTCAACTCTTTCTATCCGGGCGTAATGTTAATTTTAGCACGACATCCAGAGACGGAGGCTGTTCTCATGGGAGGACCGTTCCATCCAGCGTTCGGAGGGGATGTGGGGATGTGACACACTCCCGAGTGCACGTGGAGAGTCTCCACGCCTCTTCTGTCAAAGAGATCCGTAGCAATCAACTGGTAGAAGAAGAATGTTCATCGAAACTTGTAATAGGCCAACTGTCTTATCGAAATATATTTTTGGTACATTAATGTGAAAAGAACAAATAAATGATCGTTGCAGCACTTTATACGTTTCTTTGGAAAATGAATAAACGATGTTATAAATTCCGAGTCGTCCAAAATTTAATGACTTCTCCTAAACAACATCAAGACTCTATTAGCTAAAATTCCTCAATTGGATATAGAATATTCTGTTATATATTGACCTCCCAAATGAACTGTAAATATCCATAAGTGACGAAATATTAGCAGTAGAAAGGGTTGCTATGGTCCTGGTATCCCATTGGATGGTGAGATCTGGCACCGGTCTACGCGTTGGCTTGCGGGTTTTCCCTAACTAGGTATCTCCTACCAGTAGGACAAGCTTTAAGCTGCCTGGTCTCTCGACATTCTCGCGTTGTTCGTTTGTTATGGTACTTCTCCAGCATTCGCGGGATGTTGATCGGAGAATCCACGAAAAAACACTGAACAGAGTAGCCCCCCGCTAGAATTGTCGACCAAACAGCGGATGAACTCGATCTAGTTATCTGGCTAGTGTCGAAATTTCTGTCCCTGTCGAGACTCGAACGGTAGTCAGAGACATTGCAGTGTCAATTGATGCCCTGAGACACAACATCCGATCCTAGTTAAAGGGAATATAACTAAAACTTCGAGGATATTTAGTCAGTCTATTGCCGATAGTCGGACTTTGTGTATATGGAATTTTGAAAGAACGGACATTTTTCAGAGTTGAAATATGTGTTAGTTATTCAAAAAGTATATACAAGAATTGGACATTTGTCAGTGGCGGAATCTTTCATGAGTGAAAATGTCGGCGGCTGCTAATTGGAACTTAACAGTGAAACAAAGCTTTCACGGTCTCTTAACGCATACAGCTGTACTTGACGTCGGCTAAGTCATTACACTCTAATTTGATAAAAATAAACAAAGTACAAAGACATTTCAGCTATTACACACCGGAAATAAATTATAATTATACAAATTGGAATTAATTTTCTAAATTTAAGGAATGTTCTAA